GGACATAGAGAATGGACTTGAGGACACAGGGAAAGGTAAGGGTAAGCTGGGATGAAGTGAGAGAGTGGCATGGGCTTATATACACTGCCATTGATGTTTTGATAGAAAATGCACTGAACTTTTAGATTGCCTTGGGTAGTATGGTCATTTTAACAATATTAATTCTTCCAACCCATGGACACAGTATATCTTTTCATCTGTTTGTATCATCTTCAATTTCTTTCATCAGTGCCTTATAGTTTTCCAGGTACAGTTCTTTTATCTCCTTAGTTAGATTTATTTTTAGGTATTTTATCTTTTTGGTACGATCGTTTAAGTGTGATTGTTTCTTAATTTCTCTTTCTGTAGTTTTTTTTTTTTTTTTTTTTTTTTTTTTTTTTGCTGGCGTTATGCGGGCCTCTCACTGTCGTGGCCTCTCCCATTTGCGGAGCACAGGCTCCAGACGCGCAGGCTCAGCGGCCATGGCTCACGGGCCCAGCCGCTCCGCGGCATGTGGGATCTTCCCGAAACGGGGCATGAACCCGCGTCTCCTGCATCGGCAGGCGGACTCTCAACCACTGCGCCACCAGGGAAGCCCTGTAGTTTTTTATTAGTGTATAGAAGTGCAACAGATTTCTGTGTATTAATTTTGTATCCTGCAAATTTACCTAATTCACTGATGGGTTCTAGTTGTTTTTCTCTAGTGGTGTCTTTAGGATTTTCTATTTATAGTGTCATGCCATCTGCAAACAGTGACAGTTTTAATTCTTCGTTTCTAATTTGGATTGTTTTTATTTAGTTTTCTTGTCTGATTGCTCTGGCTAGAACTTCCAATAATATGTTGAATAAAAGTGTTGAGAGTGGGCATTCTTGTCTTTGTCTTGATCTTAGAGGAAGCAATTTCAGCTTTTCACCATTGAGTATAATGTTAGCTGTGGATTTGCCATATATGGCCTTTATGATATTGAGGTATATTCCCTCTATATATACCTTGTTGAGAGTTTTATCATAAATGGATGTATAATTTTGTCAAAAACTTTTTCTTCATTTATTAAGATGATCATATAATTTTTACCTTCTGACTAATTGGCAAGTACTGAACCATTCTTGTATCTTTGGGATATATCCCACTTGATTGTGGTATATGGTTCTTTTAATATACTGTTGAATTTGGTTTGCTAGTATTTTGTTGAGGACTTTTTCGTCTATTTTCATCAGTGATATGGGCTTGTAATTTTCTTTTTTGTGTTGTCTTTGTCTGATTTTGGTATCAGAGTGATGCTGGCCTTACATAATGAGTCTGGAAACATTCTTCCTTCTTCAATTTTTTGGAATAAGTTGAGGATAGACATTAAACCTTCTTTAAATGTTTGGCAGAATTTACCTGTGAAGTTATCTAGTCCTGGACTCTCGTTTTTTGGGAGGTTTTTTATTATTGATTAAATTTAATTACTAGTAATTGGTCTATTCATATTTTTTATTTCTTCCTGATTCAACTGTGGGAGATTGTTCGTTTCTGAGAATTTATTCATTTCTCTTAAGCTGTCCATTTGTTTGGTTATAATTGTTCATAGTACTCTCTTATAATCCTTTGTATATTTGTGGTATTGTTTGTTACTTCTTTCAGAGCTGGTGTCAGCTTGCTGGTGTGAGAGGCTGGTTCCTGACATGACTGACTGTGGTGTTTGGGGTGTCCCATAGTTTGTGTCAGCCCCATGGGGGGTAGGGTCAGATCCCAGGGCAACTGACTTAGGGACCCATGGTGTCTTAGAGCTGGTGTTGGCCTGCTGATGCATGGGGTTGAGTCCTGGAAAGGTTAGGCTCAGCAGATCTAAGGCAGCCAGCCTGCTTGTGGGTGGGTCTGTGTCCCTGCCAGGCCAGCTCCTTGGCCTGAATCATCCTAGTACTGGTGCCAGCGCGCTGGTGGGCCAGTTTGGGTCCTGGCACTAATAATCTAGAGAGAGGATTCCAAAATGGTACTTGCCAGCATCAGTGTCCTTGTGGTAGAACAAGCTCCCTAATATGGCTGCCACCAGTGTCTATGTCCCCAGGGTGAGAATCAGTCTCCTCCTGCTTCTCCAGGAAGCTCTCCAAGATCATCAGGTCGGTCTTACCCAGGCTTGTCTCAAATCACTTCTTCTGCCCTGGGTCTTGGAGTGTGTGAGATTTTGTTTGCACCTTTAAGAATGGAGTCAATCTTCCACAGTTCTCTGGCTCTCTTATATGCAAGCGTTGCTGATCTTCAAAGCCAAATGTTCCTATGGCTCATCTTCCTGGTGCAGGACTCCTGGGCTGGGGAGCCTGATGTGGGGTTCAGACCCCTTGTTCCTTGGGGAGAACCTCTACAATTGTAACTATCCTCCTGTTTGTGGGCCACCCACACATGGGAATGTGTGTTGACTATATCATGACTCAGCATCTCCTACCCATTTCCTTGTGGTTCTTCAAATCTTTAGCTGTAGAAGATCTTTTCTGCTAGTCTTTTGGTCTTTCTGATCAATAGTTGTTTTGTAATTAGTTGAATTTTTCTGTGCTCATGGGAGGAGGTGAGCTCAGAGTTTTCCCACTCTGCCATCTTGGCCACCAACCCTAATTATTTTTTTAATCTGTCAATTTCTGTATGACACCAGCCTAGTCCAAGCCACCATATGTCTTATTTGGACATGTAACAGACATCTAAGTTGCCCCCTTAAATTACTCTTTAACACAATTATAGGGCCCTACAGTTTTTGCAACCTGGTGGACCCTCAGTCTTCACCTTCCAGTCCTCAGTCATCCTCCTCTGCTCCTCTGTTACATACACAGTTAGTCTATTGGATCTCTTAATATACTGTGGCTCTTTCCACCAAAGGCTCTTTTCTCATACACTTTTCACTGCCTGGCACTCCTACACCACTGCTTTGACTGTTTCTGCTTATTTGTTTTTACCTAGTTCACCACCTCTACCCATTTTTCGGAGAGCTTCCTTTGACTATTTATCCTAGGCCAGGTTATTTTGTAATTTGTTTTCCTTGCACCATTTTTAAAAAATTTCCCACACATCTTGAATTTTAATTATTGATATTTCCTCCTTAGTGTAACTATTTGTCAATCTGCCTCACCAAACTTTATATAAGAATTAGGATTTTGTCTGCTTTGGCTTAACATTGAATTCCAGGAGCTTAGTGTAGTACTACAAATAATAATAAAAAAAAGCATCTTTTACATGAATAAATAAAATTAAAAACAGAGAAAAAACCCAGAAGAAACAGAAAGAAAAACAAAAATTAAGAAATATTGAGAGAGCAGGTGGGCACTCAACTTTTCTAAAATTAATTTTTAGTTAATTTATTTTAACTAACTTATTTAAATTTATATAATGTTTTAAAATTATATAAATTTAAATAATTTAAATATATAGACTGTTTTAAAATTATATAAATTTAAATAATTTAAGTAATATAATATGTAATGTATAATATAATATAATATATAATATAGTTCTAGGGTCAGCCTTTAATGCAAACTATTGTCACCCTGAGGTCTTGTAGGATATTGCTGACAAGACAAATTAGATTTAAATTTTTGCATCAGTAAAGATGGCTGTATTTCACTTTCTAAATTTTGGATAACATTAATCCAAAGTCCTTTGTTTTCAGTTTTAATAAAAGTGTCAGTAATTTTTTTCAGGATGCTTTCAACTTGAGGCTACCTAAGGATTTGAGTGGTTTGTTTGAGGACTGCCTGACTAGGTCCTCATTAGTTAAAGGCAAAACATGAAATCAGTCCTACAAGAAAGTTTGACCAAAAATAGAAATTACTTCATATGTAATAGACTGTTTGTATAAAATGATGACATTGTTTAAAATGATGAGGTTATCAAGAAATGCCTTTTAAATTTGTTTTAAGTTATTCACCTTCTCATCTGGCTCCTTTTCTGTGATCAACAGCAAGCCTTTGTAAGAGAAATGATTGAAATTGGAGTTAAGCCCATTGCTCTCAAAGTTTGCTTTTTTTCTGTACATAACTCAGTGTTCCAAAAGGGTAAGCCTAATTTATGAATAATAATTTCATTACCTTAAGGTAATTTCATTGCCTTCTTGTCATAACCAGCTGAATTTCCCAGCCCAGGCACTCTCATTTCTTCATTCATTCAGACATTTATGAGAATCTGTCAGATGCCCTGCTAAGTACATTAAAGATGAGTAAAATACTGTTCCTGCCTGTACATAGTTTCTATTTTCAGATTGGTGTCAATTTCTTTGATTTTATTTTCAGATTGATTCAGACCCTGGGAAAGATTATTCGATTTATATAACCTTCATAGGTTAGCCAGGATTCCAGATGATCAGACCAACTTATCCAAATGTCATCTAATACATAAAGTCAGACACAAAACGTTATTTTTAACTGACGAAGAGTAAGTTTGGAGAACGTTATCACTAGATTGCTATACTAATGAGCAATTTTATATTCTTGGTTTCTACATGTAAATTTTGTTCAGTAGTGCCTTTGGGATGTGATCATCATATTTAGCCATTTCTCTTTTAGGGAATTTCCTTAATTCTGAAGCATGAATTAATTTCAAGACTGCCTTCCAAAATTTTATATGCTCCAGAAAGACATTTCCATTTAATATGCGATTTTTTTCTACTGAATTTTCTTTTTTCTGTTCTGTGCTAATGACGTTTCCCCAGCTCCATTTCCTAAGAGCGGTGCTCTTTTCACTCAATAGATATTTTGTTGAACAATTGAACTAGATCTTAATTTCAACTGAACCACCCAATTCTTTAATCTATTTATTTCCTTCAAGATATTTTCAGAGAAGTTGATTCATTTTGTCTACAATTTGATTGATACTAGATGGTATCAAATTTGTAGTTTATTTCACTAAAATGAAAAAAAAAAAGATTTGGAAAACAATTTTCAGAGAGACCTTTTTTTTCTTTCTTTCTGTATTTAGGTGGCTATTACACATGTAAAAAACATTTAAAACATAAGGTTCAGCACTATAGTTAAAGGAACTACTGTGGAGTACTTACCGTATTGTTATAGGGATGAATGCATTTCTGTTAATGCTGTAATTAGCAGAAAGAGTCAAGATATTTTGAGAACTTCCACATCCGTATTTAACAGTGGGCTTTCCTTCCACAAGAAATAAATGAAGAAACTGTTGTCCAAAATTCTTCTCATTACCTTTAAGAACAAATATTACATTAAATTAGCGATTAATGTAGATTTACATTTTATTCAATAACAATCATTCATTTAACAAACACAATCTTAGTTCTCAAGGAGTAATCATTCAGTGAGATGATAGGAGTGTTATTAGATAATTATTCAATGTAAAAAGTACTGTACTAGAAATATACATTATTTTCCACAGGCTGAGGATGACATAGTATTAACAGCATTAACTTGACATGAGATTTTAACTTCTGACTTTGTTACTTAATAACTATGACCTTAAGTATTTTCAACCTCAGTTTCCCAATAGGTTCTAATGGGATAATGAGAGCAACAAATTGTTAGATTTACTGTGACAATAAAATAAGATAATAAATGAAAAGTGCCTGGCACCTACTGAGTATTGATAACTTGATTTATTATTATTAATTATTTATATTTTAATTTTAATATGTCTCATAAAAATTGAAATGGTAAAGAAATATATAAAGAAAAACAAGAGAAACATTCCCCTTTCTGCCAGCCCATCCTTCATCCCCCTTTGAGGTATTCTTTACTATGATTTATAAACATACAAATATTTGTATAGCTCTAATTTTATTTTTAAAACAAATAATATAATAAATAGCTTTGCTCACTTGTCTTTTCACTTAACAATACATTTTAGATATCTGTCCTTGTAAGTACATAGATTTCTCTCTTTTTTAACATTCGTAATTTAAGTATCACTCACACAGAAAATCACACAAATTTTAAACATATAGCTTAGTGAATTCTCACAAAGTGAATCCGCTCACACAAACACCACCAACTTAAGAAAAAGAAAATTTTCTGCATTGTCAGAATTCCTATTGATCAGTGCTCTCCTCTTCCCTCTACCAAAAGGAACTGAGATCCTGATGTTTAACAATAACAATAGTTTTGCTTGATTTTCATCTTTATATTAGTGGGATCATACTTATATATTCTTTAGTGTCTATTTGCTTTTGCTCAATATTATGTTTGTGAGAGAGCATTCACCCTACATTTCTACTGCTTTATAATATTCTATTAAATGAATATTCACAATTCAGTTATTTTTTCTTCTATAGATGGAAATACACCCACCCTGTTTTTGGTTTTTATGAATAATGCTGCTATGACAATCTTGTATGTGTCTTTGGTGTTGAAGTGCATGCATTTCTGTTTTGTATGTACCAGGAGTTAAATTGTTCTGTCACAGAATATGACTATGATTAATTTAGTAGGTACTACCAGTTTTCTGAACTGATGTGTTAACTCCTTACCAACAATATATGAATGTCAGCTGATCCTTTTTTTTTGGCCATTAATTGGTTTGATCACCTTGTAGATTTTAACTATTCTGTGTTTATTATTCTGGCTTTAATTTTTGTTTTCCTCATATTAGAGAAGTTGAGCATACTCTCATGTTTAGTGGCTATTTTGATATCCTGTTTTGTGAAGTGTCGGTTTGTGTGTCTTTTTCTTATTTTTGTCTGCTTGTTTGCTTTTTCCTTATTGATTATAGAGTTATATCTATGTATATATGTAATATTTATATACATATATATGCATACACATAAAAGAGCATACAAACAAGCTCTTTGTCAACTACATATATTGAAAATATTTTCTCCAATCCTGTAGATCGTCTGGCCATTCTCTTAGGGGTCAATTTTTTTTTTTTTTTTCCCGGTATGCGGGCCTCTCACTGTTGTGGCCTCTCCCGTTGTGGAGCACAGGCTCCGGACGCGCAGGCTCAGCGGCCATGGCCCTCGGGCCCAGCCGCTCCGCGGCATGTGGGATCTTCCCAGACCGGGGCACGAACCCGTGTCCCCTGCATCGGCAGGCGGACTCTCAACCATTGCACCACCAGGGAAGCCCTTAGGGGTCAATTTTGATGAACATATGTTCTTAATTTTAGTATGGGTAAATTTACCAGTTGTTTCCTTTGTGGTTATGATTAGTACTTTCTGTATCATCTTCAAGATATCTTTGCCTACCTCGAAGTCACAAAGTTATTCTCTTACATTATCTTCAGTAATCTTTATTTAAGAGCTACACTCTCCTGAGAATTGACTTTTGTGTATGATGTAAAGTAAGGGGTTGTAGTAGGTTGAATAATGGCTCTGAAAGATATTCATGTCCTAATTGTTGGAACCTGTGAATATTAACCTTATATGGCAAGGGAGACTTTGCAGATGTGGTTAAATTAAAGATCTTGAGATAGGGAGATTATCCTGGATTATCTGGTTGGGTCATAAAATTAGTCACGTGTCTTTTTAAGAGAGAGGCAGAGGGAAATTTGACAGTGGAAGAGGACAAGTTATGTGACTATAGAAGCAGAGATTGGAGTGATGCAGTCACAAGCCAAGAAATGCCAGCAGCCACCAGAAAGAGGCTGGAAGAGGCAAAGAATAGTTTCTCCTCTGGAGTCTCTGGAAGTAACCAGTCCTGCTAACAACTTGATTTTATTTGTATAAGATACATTTTATACTTCTGGTTTCTGTGGTTTTAAACCACTAAGTTTATGGTAATTTGCTGCAGCAGCAATAAGAAATTAATACAGGGTCAATTTTTATTTTTTCTCTTTTGATTTCCAATTGATCCAAAATCATCAAAGCAAATAATTCTCATGATGCATTTACTGAATTCTCAGATATTTGTGGAATATATATATTTAAAATTTTCATATCCCCATTCTCTACTCTTTACTTTTATTTATTTTTGTGAATATATACATTTAAGATAATGATTTTGTTGTTTTTTTACTCAAGCAATATAAAAAATACCTTTGAAAGTGCACTAAAACCTGAAATTACAACCCTCAGAAATGGCCAGCAATTGGAGAGAGTGTGGAGAAAAGTGAACCCTCCTACATTGTTGGTGGGAAGGTAAATTTGTATTGCCACTATGGAGCACAGTATGGAGTTTCCTTACAAAACTAAAAGAGTTACAATGTGATCCTGAAATCCCATTCCTGGGCATATATCTGGAGAAAGCCATAATTCGAAAAGATACATGTGCCCAATGTCACTGCAACACTATTTACAATAACCAAGACATGGAAGCAATATAAAAGTTCATCAACAGATGAGTGGATAAAGGTGTAAGATATATATATATATATATACACACACATAATGGAATATTGCTCAGCTATAAAAAATGAAATAATTTCATTTGCAGCCACATAGATGGACCTAGAGATTATCATACTAAGTGAAGTAAGCCAGACAAAGACAAATATAATATGATATCACTTATATGTGGAGTCTAAAAATATGATACAAATGAACTAATTTATAAAACAGAAACAGACTCATAGATATAGAAAATAAACTTTCAGTTACCAAAGGGGAAAGGTAGGGGGGGATAAATTAGAATCTGGGGGTAACATATAAACACTACTATATATAAAATAAATAACAAGGACCTACTGTATAGCACAGGGAACTATATTCAATATTTTTAATAATGTATAAGGGAAAAGAATCTGAAAAAGAATATATATATATATGTATATATATATGTGAATCAACTTGCTGTATACCTGAAAGTAACACAACATTGCAAATCAACTATATTCAATAAAAAATTAATTAATTAAAAAAAGAAATGGCTAGCATTAATATTTGGCAAACACTTCCATAGATACGAAGGCTGATAACTGGATAAACGAATATGTAGAGAGAAAGTTTTTCTTTTTATTAGAGCAAAACCATAGTGTACATAGATTTAAAAATGGAAATTATATTAAATCAGTAGTTCTCAAACTTTTAGGTCTAAGGACCCTTTAGCACACTTAAAATCTACCAAGAAGCCCCCAAAAGCTTTTGTTTACATGGTTTGCATCTTTTGATACTTATTGTATTAGAATTTAAAACTGAGAATGTTTTCAAATATTTATCAATTAGTTTAGTTAAAAATAACAATAGGGCTTCCCTGGCGGTGCAGTGGTTGAGAATCCGCCTGCCGATGCAGGGGACACGGGTTCATGCCCCGGTCTGGGGAGATCCCACATGCCGCGGAGCGGCTGGGCCCGTGAGCCATGGGCCCAGAGCCTGTGCTCCACAACGGGAGAGGCCACAACAGTGAGAGGCCCGCGTACCACAAAAAAATAAAAATAAAAATAACAATAATAAAATCCATTACATGTTATTTGAATAAACATATTTTGTGAAAAGTATAATATTTTCCAGAAAAAAAGAGAAATAATCAGAGGAGTAGTGTTATTCTATTCTTTTGCAAATATATTTAATGTAATGCTTAATAAAAGACAGCTGGATTCTCATATCTACTTCTGTATTAAATCTGTTGTGAATTGTTCACTTTGGTTGAAATATATGAACTCTAGACTCACACAGAATGTAGTTGTAATGGAAGCCTTTCTAAATACAGACAAATTGGGCAAATGGTAGTTACTTAAAGTTTAGTTGCAAAGTGGAATCTGAAACACTATTAATGACCTTTACATACTCTGTTACATTAAAATTCCATTGGTCTTTCTTGCACTTTGAATGGATATTCTACCTGTGCATGATTTTGTAACATTGTGCATTGACTATTTGAAAAATGTTGGTTCACTGGGTTAAAGAGATCTTTCAAATGTTGACATATTTTATCATATAATATATTAATAAAGCACATTCATTGATATTACTACTGAACTCATCAGAAAGTATTGGGAAGCTCTGACGCTCATTATAGAGAAGGTAAATTTTCTAAAATTCTAATTTTTATTAGAAAGCTTGAGTTTTATCTTTGTGAACAAGTATTGTTCACAAAGAAATAACTTGAAATAACACATTTGCTTTGTTAATTTCTGAGAAAAAATCTGTAAAATATGCAAGTCTGAATAACCATATGTTATCTTTTAGTCATTTTTCAAGTCATGTTTTCATAGTACTACTTCAACCAGCAACTTAAAAAAAATGCACATGCATTTTCCTCAAGTCAGTTTTTATACTTTAGTGTGTAGTATGTAGTATGTATCAGACTTGCTTTAT